ATAAGTGCATTCCACACGTAAACTTGATCGTCGACGTCATCAAACAATTGTCCAACGTGCCATGGGGCAGAGGACAAAAGCTGTTTATAATGTTCAGGGTCAAAGTTCTTATAGCTCCTAAATGTGATGACCTTTGGTTTGTTGTGATTTATTTTCTGCTTCAGGACACCGTAAACAAGGTCGTGATCACTTAAGCAAGGATGGTAATTACCAGATAGGTGGAAGCTATCCGGTCTATTAGTGAGCAAAACATCTATTAAACTCTCTGTTATAATTATTCCACGCTTTTCTATTCTTGTTGGCTTAGTAATTAGACATTCAAAACCTTGTTCAACTTCCAAATCGAGAAGCAGTTTACCTTCAGGTTTGTCAGGGCGAAGTCTGTTCAGATTTAGGTCGCCAGTAACTACAACAAAATTTCCGTTCAAGCTTGCCCAGTTACAGACATAACTGAGTTCGCTTTCCAACAGTGTTTGATATTCGCCACACAGAGCTCTCGGGGGACGATAAATACCAACAATTACCATATTGTCCATATCTGTTTTGATTTCGAAGGCAATTATTTCCAGTGTCTTAAAGGATTTATCAGGTTTAAGCTGTGTCCTGACTAGCGATTGAGATATTAAAGCCATAATTCCACCGCCGCCCTTTTTCCTATCATTTCGGTAGAGGGAGTAGTTCGGAACTTTGAACTGAGCGTTGGGATAGCTCGCGTCGATCTTGGTCTCACTTACGAACATTATGTGGGCGTTGATTTTCTTGATTACTTCGGTCAGTTCTTCAAATTTATTTTGGATGCTGTTAATGTTCAAGTGGGCAATTAAGAAATCCTTATTGTGATGTTTCCTAAAGAGTTCTAGCTGATCGTTTTCAGAAGTAATTTCTGTGACATCTCTGTAAAGAAACTGCTCGAAGGCCGTATTTTGAGTTGTTTCCGCTTGATACTCCTCGGCTGGAATTAGTGTATCACCTTCAGAAACTTCTTCAAAGAAGGAGTCCGTTAGTGGCGGTAGAGCACAAGCTGGACAGGTCCAATCAATATCAGGCTGGTCTAAGTAGTACTGGAAAATAGTCCGAGACATATTGAGGCATTTAGCGTGTGACCAGTTTCCACATGTGGCACACAAGATGGCGTTTTGGTTGTTTCTAACTGCTTTGTGGCATTCACTGCATGGGTTTTTCAACATAGACTTCTTCCCTTTCGGGCCAGGATTTATGGCCACGTCCCCGCAAAGAAGCACATCCCTTTCCAGATTGAAGCTGCTTATTCCTTTGACCGTGTGTGGGACCCTCCGTGAAGTAAATCGTTTAGCACGAGGTTTAAATCTTCTGTGGTTTGTCAAATATGAGACGAATTCAGGTGCAATAAACGTCTTTGAGACGCTTGTAGCCTGGTAAGACCCTAAAACGTCGCCACTTATACTCTCTTGGATTAAAACTGCTGTTCCAAGCAGGAGTACTAGAAATTGTAGCGAGCTCGCCCAGGTCGGTCCAGCCGCCATGACAGCTATCCAAAGTTGTTTAGGATAGCATGGCAATTATACACGTTGGTTTTTAGACCAAGGCAACTTTGAATAGGGGGTGGGGAGGGGGTTTACTTTTTGTGTTTACGGGAGACGGGAGTAGGGCGCAAAAGTTAGAAAATAGATGGAATTGTCTCAACAGTTTTGTCCGGGGTTGTCTGTGAAGGCCAGTTGTTCAAATCGCTGTAACTTCGCGATGTAAGGTCGGAGGGTATTGATTTTTTGCACAGATGTTGTACTTGTCTAAAGCTTTGTGACTACGAAAGAAGGTGTCATAAAAACAATTAGGACGCATTAATTATGCACTTAGAAATTTAGCCATAAATTAGAAACCTTATACCTAAATGAGAAAGAAATCATGCTCTTTACAGAAAAAGTATTGAAATTAATTGTGGTTGGTGGCCACGGTTAAGGAGTTACTGTGTGTCACAAATATGATATCTTAATAGGAGCCTTACCTCCGGCCTTTTTACCAACGTTAATTGTGCTTACATGTCGAATAAATTAGATAAGACTGGGAATTTATTATATTTGCGCAGCACAACTGTCCTGTTCAAAAATAATAGTGCGTGGTGTGCAGGTCATGCACGAGGACTCAAGAATGCGGCGGAGCAGTTAAAAATAACCCTTAGAGGTAGTGATACTTAGTTGCAGTGACAACTTTCTCCATGTAGTTAAAGTAGAACTGGAAAAGTAAGCTTCACCGAGTTAACAATACCCGCGTTTACTGAGTTGGTAATTAGAACAATTTACAACATATATACCAGATTATCTACTTGACAAAATAATGGAATCCATGCCCATAAAACCGTTAATTCTTCTATGACAACCAAGGCCAAAAGAACAAATATTAATGAAGAACTTCCAAAATGGGTAGAAATAGGATGTGTAGGGAAAGCAATGCCTCTTTGATCACAAATACAGCGAAAACATGTTGTCACACGATGGCAGTTCTTTTGTGGCAAAAAACAGCGCAC